CCCCAAAACCCCAAAACCCCAAAACCCCAAAACCCCAAAACCCCAAAACCCCAAAATTAAGGGAACATATTGAAATATATAAACTATTTGCTTGATGAATGGCTTCTCTTCTTTTTCAAAATGTCTAACTTGATCCGCTTGTTCCAATATTCGATCCTTCTCTGATCCTTGATCTTTCTCATGAGCAACTATACAGTCACAAAATTATCATACATCTTCATAATTTTGGGTATGAGATCCTTCTACTTCTCCATTAAGAGTTTTAGAATTGATGATATCCTCGATATCGATCCTGCTGAGCTTAAATTGTGGCTCTAATTTTTCATTGGTTTCAATCATTTTCTTTTCAAGTTTATGCTTTAGTTCATTCTTAAATCTCTTCTGCATGACTGGAATAGGAAGAGGGTACCTTCAACTTAATTAAAATAGCTTACTGTCGTTGACTAAGTTCTTTGCTCTTCCCTTTGCTACTACTAAAGGAGTCATTTACAGTAGAGAAACTAGTCCTAAAGATCAATTAATACTTTACATTTGTTTTTGGTGGTGAACAGAAGGAGAATAATTAAGTTTTCTAAAGTTAGGCTGATATCTTACTTCCTTGGCATTCCATAATTTAGCTGTTCCACATTCATGGAATGAAGATTTTTAACATGCTGTTGGTACCCGCTATTCCGGCTGTTCTTATTAGCTCTCTTAATATCTAGCTTAATTCCAGATTTGGTGCCAAGATTATTATAATTATCATTCTGCTTGGTTTTCATAGTGGACTTACATGCCTCTGATGTCTCTAATAGGCACTTATCTAGGAATTATTAAGGAACTCTTACTCATATCTTTCTTCGGGTTTTTAGAAATCAACACTTTGGATTTGCTGTATGTAAAACCTGTGATCTTTTTCTCAATTCGGTCAATATTCTCAAGACGATATCTCTGGAATTTGTCCATCTTTGTGTTGCTAAAATTTGTAGTTACAGATTTCTGAAGCTTTTGAGGCTTTTTCGCTGAGGTGTACCTTCAACTACTCTTACTTTTCTTCAAGTGAGAGTCAAGTGATTGATATGGATTCTGACTTTGTGTTTCCATAACCTGACTTAAGCTTCCAATATCTCTTTTCAAAGACCTTTTAAAAGAACTTTTCTTGATATTTTTATAAGCATTGTTTGGACTCATAGTAGTAAATTTATCTGGAAGAATAGAATCATCGGATTCTTTTGAATCTTTCATCTCGTAAAGTTCTCGAAGGTGGGAGTTCTTCTTAGATTTCTTTAAATCATTTAACATGAGAATAACATCAGGGCCTGTGTTGGTTGACCTATTCATTTTCATGTTGCTTCTTTCACCATATGATATAATGCTTGTTTCTGCAGTCACTTCATCAGTTTCTTTATTCTTTTTAGGCTTCAGCAAAGGAATTTTTTCAAAAGAAATAGTTGTAGCTTGCATATGATTATAATCGATATCGTCTATTGGTAATTTATTCACTTTGTCCTTGGTTAAGTTGAATTCCTTAGTATTTCACAGCCCATTTGAGTCATTCAATTTGCTTTTTAATGCCTTCATGAGCTTATATTTTTGACGGTACCACCACTCTTTTCTATTTGGCTTTATTTAATTCTTCTGTTAGATTGTAACTACCTTTCCTATCTCTGATTCTTGGTTCGCTCTGCTTTCATTTTTCTATAAATCGTTTATATTCCTTGATCCAAGGGAAATGTGGAATCTCTGTCTCTATCCCTCTCTGATTAAGGTATTTCTTAATTACATCATTTGGCAAATTCTGCATTTGAGTAAATGTTTCAGATCCAAAGAAATGGAGCAACTCTGCTTTCTTATTCTCTAACTCTTCTTCTTTCTCTTGGAGCTTTCTCTCTTCATGAGCTTTAAGTTGCTCTTCAATGGGCTTTCCATCACCTTCATCCTTCTCATGATTAGGATTCTCTTTATTCTGGTCAGTTGTAACACCAACATCAATTTTCGGAAAACTCATGCCTCCAAGTATGGATGGTTTGATTGCTGATTTATTTCTTAATATTCTCCTCTATTTGTTCTAACTCCATTTTCTTTTTAATTTTGAGTTCTTGTTTCATATTCTCAAGAATATTCAAATCAGTCTCATCAGTGCCAAGCAGCTTCTGGAGTTTATTTAATTCTACAATTTTTCTTTTGCTCTTCGATCATTTGGTCATTCCTATTCAACTGTAGGACCACACTTTTACGAATTGACTCTCTAATTTTAGCTTTTAGTTCTGATTTATTTCCTTTCTAGCTTTTCTTTTGCTTGTAAGGAAAGTCTGGAACTCAGTCTAAGAGCGTTACTTATTTCATCCCTTTCCTTAATCCTCTGTCTGTTGCTCTCCTCAGTGAGATACCTAGTTTGAGCAATAGTTTCTCTATTTCTGGTATGTTCTTCTCTAATTTTGTCTGCATGTTCATGTTTCTTCGATGTCATCATTGCAAATGACATTTTTGTGCTGTACCCTCTCGAAGACATTATTGTGATTATATTTTTCAATTACAAAAAGACTAAAGGGGTTTTGGGGTTTTGGGGTTTTGGGG